AATCAAGCTCTACCACACACAACACTACTTAACAATCAAGCTCTACCACACACAACACTACTTAACAATCAAGCTCTACCACACACAACACTACTTAACAATCAAGTTCCACCACACACAACACTACTTAACAATCAAGCTCTACCACACACACACACTACTTAACAATCAAGTTCTACCACACAATACTACTTAACAATCAAGTTCTACCACTCATAGCACTACTTAACAATCAAGTTCCACCACACACAACACTACTTAACAATCAAGCTCTACCACACACAACACTTCACCAAGTTGTAAAACATTCGGGTTCTGCTATGAATTACACCATTTCTCCCTGTACGCCTGTTATTGTGATATGGAACTTTTTTTTCATTAACTTAAATTGCTGTGTGATTGTACTAGCCAGATATGACAAAACTATGCGTCTTAACACAGTAAAATATTATAAACAGTGACTTTTGTTGACGTGTTTATTTTTGCCAGAGTAGTGCATGAAGAGTTATTACCATAACATTTTTGCGATGTATTGAGGTTGCATGTAAAACATTATGTGTTTAAGTATTTTAAGCTGGAGTGGAGTTCGTTAGGTTTGATAGCAGGTTATGGTAATTATAAAACATGCACGAATGAGAGACTCGCACGTTTAATAGATAAACATGGGTATCCCACACCTAACCTTTTATACTTCTGTCTCGTCATGATCTACCCAATGATGTTTCAAACTGTAAGAATAACAGAAAAATATTTCTCTATACTGAAAGAGATTACACAGTGGTTTTAAATGTGTGTGTGATGTATTAACTTTATTGTTATTTTATAGATTGGCACGCCAGAACAAAGAAATAGTCAGCATTGGTTACCATGGTAATGTTGTAGATGTATGGTAAGTGAAGTTGATATTGTAATGATCTAATGTCAATTTGGAATAAATTATGCCTGTTGTGAATGGAGAATAACATTGGTTACCATGGTAATGTTGTGGACATGTGGTAAGTGAAGTTGAGATTGTAATGATCTAATGTCAATTTGGAATAAATTATGCCTGTTGTGAATGGAGAATAGCATTGGTTACCATGGTAATGTTGTGGACATGTGGTAAGTGAAGTTGATATTGTAATGATCTAATGTCAGTTTGGAATAAATTTTGCCTGTTGTGAATGGAGAATAGCATTGGTTACCATGGTAATGTTGTGGACATGTGGTAAGTGGTCTAATGTAAAGTTTGAGAGAGTTACAGAATAGGAAATAGTAAAAGTGTTACTTTGTTAAAAATCAAAGAAATGATAAAGTGAAACTCCATTAACGTATGATCTGTGCTCTGCCTGACATGGGGAATTCCAAGGACTTACACCACTAAAAATGGCTCAACAGTTCATGAGTCCCCAACTTTGGTATTGAAACCTGAATTCCAAGGACTTACACCACTAAAAATAATGGGTATTGAAACCTGATTTTTAGTGGTGTAAGTCCTTGGAATTACTGTTGAGCCAGCTGGGGACTCATGACATGGGTATTGAAACCTGATTTTTGGTGGTGTAAGTCCTTGGAATTACTGTTGAGCCAGCTAAGTCCTTGGAATTACTGTTGAGCCAGTTGGGGACTCATGACATGGGTATTGAAACCTGATTTTTAGTGGTGTAAGTCCTTGAACTTACTGTTGGAGCCAGTTGGGGACTCATGAAATGGGTATTGAAACCTGATTTTTAGTGGTGTAAGTCCTTGGAATTACTGTTGAGCCAGTTGGGGACTCATGACATGGGTATTGAAACCTGATTTTTAGTGGTGTAAGTCCTTGAACTTACTGTTGAGCCAGTCAGAGACTCAAATTAACTCTAACAGACTTTTGTTAAATTCAAACAATGTAGTTCGTGGATGACAACCTTTCTTCTGAGGTTTTCTAACTCATATAAATAGTTTTACAAAGTTAGTAGTTATACTGCCTTCAATGGACCTTGTAACATAAGAAAGGGAGATGTTTAAATATTATAAAGAAGAAAACTGCAAGAGAATATGTATACAAATATTTATAGAGGATTTATATAAACTAATACTTGTGTGTATTATATCATAACCCATGTTTGAATTGACAGGGAGAGAATGGTGCAAGAGTTCGAAACTAACGGAGAAAGGCTAGTAGATTTGGGTTCGGACCAGACATCTTGCCACAACCCCTTCAATGGGGGATACTATCCTGTCCAGGTGTGTACAGAGTTTTCCTGTATATTTAAATATATATACATTTTTAAGTGTATATACCACCCACTAGAGCAATATCACTATTGTAACCATCTTGGATAGAAGTGTGATAATAATAATAATTTATTAAATAGGTTATATGTGCATGTATAATATTGTTACGTTTCTGCTCGTTTGTTAATTTCCGGTATAAATTCTTTCCGACGAACTTAAGTGATACAAGTCCTTTCTTAAATAAAACTAGTTTATTCTTTCTCGATACAAACTTTGTAATACACTTAATAACTTTTATAACATACACTATAAATCACAGTGATTCACACACTTTATTTATGGTGCCTACTTTGCTTGACTCAATTATCTATCTATCTATCTCTTCGATCTATCTGCCTATGTCGCTGGCTTTCTTTGCCAGGCTTATGTACTAAAAAAGAGGGTGTCTAGCAAACACTCGGAGATTCGCGGGGTTCCCCGATAATTCTAGAAACTCCAGCGCGCATGCTCCCAGCGTCATGCGACTTCCGCTGTTGTAACAATTTTTTATCACTCTACTAGGATTACTGGTTTGATGTTTTTACATATTATGTTAAGAAAATTCCTATATCATGTAATTTAAACTGTGATTGATTATCTTAATATTGTGTTTTAATGTTACTATTGCATCCATATAGTATCTGGTTAGGTGATCTGTGGTTTGTAGATTATCTTTCTCCTCAATGTATCAGATTTGGTATATAGATTATGATTCATGAAGGAGTAAAGTGTTATATAAACAGAAAGGAATTGCTAGAAAAATAGATCTTTGTGTTTAACTCTTAAAGGTGTCAAAAAATCCATATATTTTTTTAACAGTTTTTGTGTTTTTATTCCAATTTTCATAGTTGACATTTCACGAAGCTCAGCAGCTTATGAATGATGATCCATTTCGATTCAAAACTTTAGTTCAAGAAAGGTAAAATAAGTGTTGAAATATCAATTTGAAGAATGCACTTCAAACTTTAATTGTTGAAAATTATTTGACATATAACTCTTTAAACACAAAAAAATTGTAATCAATAAATGTTGTGACAATGTAATAAAAATACTTTTTAATTTTTTATATCATGTTACAAAATACAGATTGTAGAATACCAAAAAATTATGTTTGTTTAAAAATACAGTTGTCTTTACCTACACATCATTTAGCTCTAACCTATCTCTCGTAGCTGTTGTCAGACTTGATAAACAAATCAAAAACAGTAGTAATGGATTCCTATGAATAAACATCACTAAAAGCCCCGTTGTGTAGCAAACTTTCTAAATTTGAATATTAAACAACCTCAAAACATGTCCAACCTATAAAAGCATGCATACACAATGGAAGATAAATCAGTCTGTAACCAGCACACAACATCAGTCCAAAGATAGGTGCATTAAAAGGCTTCTAAACATTGCTTTTCACCTGTGTTCATCTACAGAAATAGATGAATTATCAACTTGTTTTAAAGTTTAAGTAGTCACTGAAACAAGACAAAAAATATAACACTCAACAACAACATATAAAATAACGAAATCTTAGGAATTATTTCAAACTTAGGAAACAGGGGAAAACAACTTATAAGAACATGGAACAAACTCAAGGAAAACACTTTGTAGATATTGAAACAAATCAAAGTTAATAATAAAACCTAGACTAAAAATAAATCATTTACTAAACACATCTTACAATAATGAAGACTACAGAAAAAGATGTATCTTTCAAATTATCCGTGAAACTTGTGAATCTATATATGTATAGTTGAAACTATTAGAAATACAACAACAAAATTTAATGAACACATAAAATAAATTATGAAAACAAGTATACTGAGTAAAGAATATGATGTATATTGAAGAAATTTAAGGAAACACTGCTAATAAAAATACTTAAACCTAACATAAATATTTGTAATGTATGTACGTCTCCTTGACCTGTATTGAATACAAGGAAACATTACTAATAAAAATACTTAAACCTAACATAAATATTTGTAATGTATGTACGTCTTCTTTACCTTTATTGAATACAAGGAAACATTACTAATAAAAATACTTAAACCTAACATAAATATTTGTAACGTATTGTTGCTTCATCGAGATCATGTGATTCTCACGCCCTCTACTTTCTAGAATTATCCTGTACTTTGGCGAATGCTCTAGTATTTACTAGATAGGGTAGGCTGGTATATAAAAAAGGTAACGTAATGTGTGTGTGTAGACAGTGAGTAATTGAACTGCAGTCACAGGGTATTGTTGAAGTTCGTTCGTTCGTGATACTGTTTGTTTTAGTGCGAATATTGAGATTAAGTGTATCGCAGAGTTATATTTGGAAAGAATAAACCAGTTTTATTAAGTAAATAATTGTGTCGCTAAAGTTTCGTCGGAACGAAGTTACGGGAAGTTAATTAACAAACGGAGACGTAACAGTATGTACGTCTCCTTTACCTTTATTGAATACAAGGAAACATTACTATGTTAGGTTTAAGTATTTTTATTAAAGGTAAAGGAGACGTACATTACAAATACTTATTGAATACAAGGAAACATTACTAATAAAAATACTTAAACCTAACATAGATATTTGTAACGTATGTATGTCACCTTTACCTGTATTGAATACAAGGAAACATTACTAATAAAAATACTTAAACCTAACATAAATATTTGTAACGTATGTACATCACCTTTACCTGTATTGAATATCATCCTTTGCATCTGTTAAAGCTTAATTTGTCATACAAACAATATTAATTTATCTCTTAGTGCTTAGTTTGACAACATCTTGTAATGTTAAGGTTGCTATGCCTTCGACATCCTTTGCATCTTTTGATATTTACTTTGACAGAATCTTCAGTTATTGCAATGATAACTGTTGTTCAGACATCTTTTGGAAAGTATGAGAAAACTGACTAAATGGATCTATGCTCTTTAGTATAACATTTGCATGTCCTTACTTACATCAATTAATATTTTCTGAGAACATTTGGCCAGATAGTTACTTTAATACCAAAAACCTGCAGCTTGTTTCAAACTCTCAATTAATATTTCTCTTTCTTAAATCTTGACCATATCCTCTAGTGAGTGGTTTTATAATAATAACGTTAGTGTTGTTGGTCACAGTGTGTGATAAGTACTTATAAAGGATAAGAAAGCCAAAGTTGCCACAGTTTGCATCACATGTTCTAGACAGGTGTGTATCTTAGATGAGCTGTAGACATCCAATAGAATAATACTGTAGTCATAAAGGAGGCGCGACTCAAACAATTACTATAATTTTTGTTCAGACATCTTGTTGTCAAGTCTAAAAGAATTGCTTTAACTCTCTCAGTATGATATTTGTTTGTTATGTAAAAGATCAGTTTCTCATGCTGTCATAAAAAGTTTAAACTTATAAAACATGCTCTCTTGTTTTCACCATCGGTAAAATCTACAGTTTGAGAAGACATGTTGAAGCAGTTAACAAGATGTCTGGGGCCGGCATGTTTTTTTTTGACTACGGGAATGCATTTCTCTTAGAAGCAGATAGAGCAGGTAAGTGATGCTCATTTATTATTGTCTGCGTATTACACGTGGCTGAAAACAACACAATTTTAACTGTCTAATTTAATTTTATAATGGGCGTATCACATGTTTTATAGAACTAATAATTCAGCTTTAAACTACATATTTGAAGTTTTAAGATGTAATAATTTTCCATTAATATTTTCTACTGAGCAATTTTATATTGGTGTATTTCTTTCATTGACCAAAGTGTGTTAGTTAATTGTTTTTATATATTGTAATGAAATCGTACTTGTATATGATAAAAAAAAGCCAAATCGTATTTCAGTTTCGTAATAGTTACATTTAATCTTTTTCTTCTGATGACCTTAATCTCATTCTTGTAGCGGGTCAGCCACTTTGGTCTTCTTTCTCTATACATTACAGTCTTGTCAGGTCTTCCTTCTCCATAGATTACAGTCTTGTCTGGTCTTCCTTCTCCATAGATTACAGTCTTGTTGGGTCTTCCTTCTCCATAGATTACAGTCTTGTC